AAAATGGAATAATATTTTTAATTTTTTTCAACTTGAGTTCAAGCAAAATAGTTTAACTCAGATCTTTTAATGCAGACAAAACCTATAGTTTCCAGAAGAAGCAGACAGAGTTCCATGTTAAATATTGAAGCTGTCAGGGCGCATATTGCCTCAATATAAAAAAAAAATAACATTTAAGCTCTAAATAAAGAATAACAATTAAACTTTAATTTTAACTACATTAAATAAATACAAGGTCATATCTTACTTAAATATACTTAAATATACCATAAGTTTTCATCTTACCTAGACGTATATAGACCAATCAAGGTCATGTGTTAATAAATACAACATTAAGATCATATCTTCCCTAGACTAGTAAAACATTTAAGGTCACTGGTATGGTTATTATTAGTATCTTTAAGCAGTCCTGGTTATCTCCTTCAGGCCCAGTCGCTATCCAGCTTTCAGCCGAATAAGATATTAGATGCTCACTTATCTAGACGTATGTCGAAGGAAATAGTGAAATCAAGACTACCCTTAACAATATATTCATAACAGTATATTCATAAAGAGAAACAAAATGAAAAAACATAAGAGTTAATTACCGGTTATCCAGAAAGAGGGAGGCAGGCAATTCCCTGTTCCACTCTACAGGAACGTATGGGACAGAGAAGCACCAGAAAGTTACAAATAATCCTACTCTCGTTGCCTGGGTAGATAATTAAAAATGGTGGGGAACACTTTCGACAAAATAACACACAATGTAGATTAAAAATTACACTGAGAGAGCTGCACTGTTATTATGCGGAGGGCACTTCCTAACCCTAAAAATGCAGTGACAAAGTATTTAACCTAGATACAAGGTAATACTTGAGGTATGAAAGAGATGTGTCACAGAATTCTGTCCAAGAGTCCTACACGCCACTGTCGGTCGGCCGAGCTGGTCGGCCGAGCGGACAGCACGCTGGACTTGTGATCCTGTGGTCCTGGGTTCGATCCCAGGCGCCGGTGAGAAACAATGGGCAGAGTTTCTTTCACCCTATGCCCCTGTTACCTAGCAGTAAAATAGGTACCTGGGTGTTAGTCAGCTGTCACGGGCTGCTTCCTGGGGGTGGAGGCCTGGTCGAGGACCGGGCCGCGCGGACACTAAAAATGCCCCGAAATCCTCTCAAGATAACCTCAAGATAGCCACTGAGGTTTTAAATCTGGCGAGAGAGCTGCTGCACTTCTCTCCCTCCAGTTCTTGCAAAATTTACACAATCAACAATTTCAAACAAGTTTACTATCTATGACACAGTTTACATCTCGGCCAGCTAGTAACAATCAATCACCTACATGCATAAAGGACAATCCTGCCACAAAGCATTCATACAATACTGGATAGTTGACTGAATATTGGCTCCTAAACTCGGTCCCTTTAAATTATTAATTAGACAGTAGCAGTGCTGCCCCCCCCCCCTTGCCGCCTTCTGTGAAAATAACCAGTTTCTGGGTGAGGGTCAACAACAACTAGAGAGCTGTTGTGAATTTTTGTTTCACCCCCAACTGTAATTATATACAACGTTGACAATTTACTGACAGTTTAACAATTGCCAGTTTGAGATTAGCAAAGACGAGGGTTTAGGGTGCACATAGTTGAGAAAGGGTTCTTCTGTGCGGGTATTCTTTGCAGACAGACTTCACCCGAACCTGACTCACTTTCGGTCACAAGAGTCACTTGAACGCAAGAAAGGCACTCGAAACGACCTCCCTAGTGAAGGTCCTCATCAAAAATTTGTATGAAGGCCTAATAGCATAAGAGCGGACATAAGTCAGTGTCGAATACACTTTAATTGAGAGACAGTATTTAAGAGGGCTTCACGAATTCCTGTCACTTAACGTTTATATACAGTAGCTTACGTACTAATACATTACAGTACGGTACGTTACTCTACAACTGGGGACACTGGGGGCACCTCAACTGACCGAGGTGTCGACAATCGTCAACAATCCTGTCTTAACCCTTCATGGACAACCAATCACAAACAAGGCTGTCCTAACACTGCCGATTGCAAGGTAAAACCCCAGAATTCCTTCTGGATACTTGAGGAACAATATCAAGACATGCACAATCAGCGCAAATAATGACCTGTCAACCTGACAGTCAATACAATAAGCACAATTACATGATAATATATCACGAGAGTTCTCACAAAAATGCCGGCCTCACGCACTTATGATACTCCCTCATTCACACAGCTCGCTGACCGGCTGGTCTTGCGGGCGATGGTCTCGTAGAAGCCGTGCTGGCTCCCTCTACAAGGACTGCACGTGGCATCTTGTCTAGATCACGCACGTGGCAGCAGGTCGTGCCCCGTGGCAGCAATTCGTGCCGCTAGGGCTGGTGCACGGGTGAGGATATTTACCGGTTCACGTGCAGTTCGGCCTTCGTCCTGGTCCGCGCGACAAGAGTGGTGGTGGCTTCAATCTAGATTCTTCTTAACTTCATCTTCAGATTAACTATGGCGGCACTTGGGATCTCTCACGCCATTCACTCGACACCTTTCTGTGTTCTCACTTCCCACAGTCCTGTTGCATCTGGATGCTGCCCTCGTAGCATCTCTGATAGTCTTTCTCTCCACTTAAATTGGCGAGACTAATTACAAAGTGGGATTCCAGCAGCTTGCAAGAACTTTTCGACGAATTTTGGCCCTGTTGAACTTAGCGTAAGGCC